AGGTATAATTCTCTCCTACTCCCTTTGGTTCAGATCTGGTTCAGTTTAAGGTTCAAGAATGATCCTTGAAAATATGATTTTCTAAATAGGGAATGTGATTCCCAGTTGAAGGGAGAGAAAAATTTTTGAAATTCGCCCCCTTATTCCGCAATCTTTGGGCGTCCATACGATGGATCTCTCAACCCTTCACCACCGCCGGCAACAGCAGTGAAGAGGGGCCCACATGGCAGCAGCTTATCTTATCAGCTCCTTAGCCAGCAGCTTATCTTATCTTATCTTATCCTTAGCAGTCTCTCTTATCTGTTCTTACCTGTTCTTACTTTATCTATTAGAAGAGTAGTAGGAGTTTGATTTATCTTAGGGAGGCCTTATCCTTCCCAAGTAGGAGTCTTATCTGTAAGCAGTCGAATGCAACAAGGAGTCTTCCTACAAGGAGGACTCTCACCTCTTGTAATCTCCTATTTAAGGAGCTGCGATTTGAGAATAAAGGCATCCAATTTTCAGTCAAGAGAAGAGTTGAGGAGAGTTAGGGTGATCACTTGGACAAATCACCCCTTAGGTCGCCACAATAGGGTCTACACACAAAGGGAGGGGCAAGGGGAAGCTAGAGCCGAACGTCATGGGCGATATGGAGAAACTGTCATCCAAGGTCCACGAATTGGAACACCGACTCGTGGAGAACCACACAAAAATACGAGAAGTCAAGGAAGATGTCTGGGAGATTTGTCGCCTACTAGAGTCGTATTTCTCCACCAGGGAGAGGAGCCCTGAAGGGACGGCAACCACCAACAGCCGTCGACCGGACTTGGCGGAATCATCCGGCGAACGACAGATCGCCGCCCCAACAGCAGCAGTCATCCCCAAGTATAGTAGGCTAGAGTTCCCTTCGTACAGCGGCAGCGGAGATCCACTAGGATGGCTATACCGCTGTGAACAATTCTTTCACAATCAGCATACTCTGGTTCTACCGACTAGAGAAGGAGGAACCAGGGCTCAGCTGGGACCAATTCAAGTCCTACTGCCTCCTCAAGTTCAGACCCCCATTGACGAGCAACCCACTAGGTGAGTTAATCAACCTCAAGCAGACAAGCATCGTGGCTGAATACCAGCGCCAATTTCAAGCCCTTCTCGCCAAAGCCGCCTCGTTATGCCCAGATCAGCAAGTGGATATGTTCACTGCTGGATTAGATGAGCCCCTGAGAGGAGATGTGAAAATGCAGCATCCTCCCAACCTGGTCACCGCCATGAACCTAGCTCGCGCTTTCGAGCGCAAGCTACAGATCAGCCGAGGATCCTTCAGCATGGGACGATCAGCGACATCATGGACACCCCCGAAGCCAACCAGGGTGGCCCCTTCTTCGGTAGCCAGCAGGGAACAAAAGCTTCACACAGGTATCACTCCCAGACCGGCACCTAGCATAGGAAGCAGCATGATGGCACCTCCCATCAAACGCTTATCTAGAGCTGAGATGGCGGAGCGCCGGGCAAGAGGGCAATGCTTCAACTGCGATGAGCTGTATTCAGCAGGGCACCAATGCAAGAGGCTATTCTGCCTCCTAGTAGACAAACTGGAGGAAGACGAGGACGAACCCGCAGCACTAGAACCCGAGATCTCCCTCCACGCCATCACCGAGATAAAGACCTCTCAAACCATGCAGCTACGGGCACAGGTGGCAGGGAAACCAATACGTATCCTTGTAGACTCGGGAAGCACGCACAATTTTGTAAGTGAGCAAGCTGCCCTTCAACTGAAACTACCCGTGGAAAGTAGACCGCAACTACAGGTAGCCGTCGCAAATGGAGAGAGAGTTCACAACCCTGGGATCTGTAAGAACATCCAAATACAGGTCGAATCCGAACCCTTCTCTATTGATTTATTTGTGCTACCCTTGGACGAGTTTGATATAGTACTTGGAGTTAAGTAGTTGATTACTCTAGGCCCTATCCTATGGGATTTCAGCGCCCTAACAATGTCATTCCACCTGAATGGAAAACAAGTTACTTGGCAGGGAACCAAAGTGAAGGCAAAGAAAACGCAAGTGCATACACTCCAAGGCAAAACCATGCACATAGCAGATATGGAAAGACTCCTCACCGACTTCTCGGATGTATTTCAAGAACCCAAGGGACTTCCACCTGCCCAATCGTGTGACCATCGGATTCCTCTGATAACAGGTTCAGAACCGGTCGTCGTCCGGCCGTATCGCTACCCACATCTGCAAAAGGACGAGATAGAGAAGCAGTGTGCGGACATGTTGAAACAAGGGATCATCCGCCCCAGCCGCTCCCCCTTCTCTTCGTCAGTTTTATTGGTACCGAAGCAAGACAGTACTTGGAGGTTTTGTGTGGATTACAAAGAACTCAATCCCTTCAGCATGTAGTCCAATAAGTTCCAGTTTAATCCCTTCAGCATATCCACCTTACGCAATAATCCCGCTTGTCCACTTCTTCTCCTTGAATCTACTAACTCATTAGCTATGAGGACCCCATCTACTAGCACCCTTCCTCTGAATGCCCCTTGAGATTTTGCAATCAGATTTGACATCACCTTAGCCATTTTATTAGCCAACAGTTTAGCTAATATCTTATATAAGCTACTGATAAGGTTGATTGATCTGAAATCAGCCAACTCCACTGCCCCTTTCTTCTTTGGAATTTGAGTGATGAATGTGTGATTTAAACTTCTTTCTAGAGCACCCCTTTCATGAAATTCCCTTAACATATTCAACACGTCCAGCTTCACAATTTCCCAACATTTCTTGTAGAAAAGTAAGTGAAACCATCCAGTCCCAGTGCCTTATCACCCTTTAAGCAAATTGAATTCTTCTTTGGTATAATTGTCTATGAACAGCTATGCTTATTACATTGTTCGTTATTATGTTCTGAGGCAATTCAAGGTTGAATATTAATCAGTCAAATTTCTGGTATGAAGAACATAGAAAATATAGAGGACTTGGTCAGAACTCAAGGTGTTTGGACTAGTAAGTTTCATAGAAAGCACTTTATGCTATCATTTAATGATGACAGCAATGGAGAAAGAGATGAATACGTCAAAAGACACTACACTTGAGACTTGCAAACTCAGGTGATAAGAATAAATATTATATAGATCAGCTCTGATACAAAGAGAAAACAGATATAAACTCATGTGATAAGAATAAAAATTTGAGATTCAAGAATTTACACTTGATATTTGCAAAGTAAACAGATCCACAAGCAATAATAAACAGTAGTACTCACAACAATAATAATAACAGCAGCAACAATAACAACGATAATTGCAAAAAGAAACAGGTGACTAGAGTAGAAAACAAGAACAAATATAAAGAATCTACAGCATTTCTTGAACAGATAGTGTTAAGTAGATCATATTTCTCCTTACCACCTCTCCTGTTATTGCATATGTCCGTCCCTTGAGATGTTCCAATTGCTGCAAGTTGCATACAATATGAAAATGTCAATACATCATAGCATATAATATTAGAAACTACAAAACAAAAGTTTTTTTAATAGTAAAATAAAATTTATTAAAATGAAAACAAAGAGAGTACAAGAAAGGTGATAAGGAATCACCTGAGAGAAGAAAAGAAACAAACATACCCCCAACCAACACCCTTACTAACCTTGTAAGCAGTAGTTTGATTATTACAGATAGTCAAAACAACAACGATTAAAAAAATATATATTTGAATGTGCCATGAAATTTTTATTATTTCATTGGCTAACAAAATTACTCCAACCAAAATCTATTAAACCCCTGAACTAGAAGGTGGAAAGTTTTGTCTATGGAGGAGACATAGAAGGCATTACATGCCAAACTTTTATGTACCTTATAATTACTTCTCCAAAGGACTTGATTCATAATAAAGTTGAGGGGTAAATTACAGTGACCTGTGACCCCATTTGAGTTTTCTGACAATATCAGATACCCACCCCAATTTTCTGAAATTACAATTACCTGTCTAGTCAGAACTTAAAAAGAGAACTGTTAATGACAAATGCACAATGACATAAACACTCCCATCAGTTTCACATATACCTGACTCCATATTCTGAAATACCAACCACCAAGCATGCCCCAATTTGTAGATTACCAATACTGCCCCACTTTTCATGTTTAACATGCAATCGCTTCACCAAAATCCAAAAGAACTTGAGGGTGATTACAAGCCTCTGAGAGTTTGGAGTGGTGTTTAGATGGGTTAGAAGATCAGCAACTGATTTGGCTGACTATCTAGCCAAACAAGGGACAAATAGAGGAGATTTATTCTGGGCTGAACTGCAATTGTAAACCTGTTGGGGGTCGGAATCTCTAATATAAGGGACTGGACCTGTGTATTCTTCAAAGATATTCCAAATTTAATGAATTACTGTTTCCTATCAAAAAAACGAAAAAACAAAACAAAAATCAAAAGAACCCCTTAAATTATGTATATATTCATTTAATAAAGTTTTGTCTTTAGTATCAAAAAGTTGTGTATATTAAATATTTTCTCCAAAATTTTTGAGATATATGTATATATATGATAATATTTCAGCCAAAATGCCAAAAGTGTTTTATACTACCTTATTGCATTGAAATTTCCAAATAATAAGATATAATTACATCAAATATTCTGAAATTTCACTTATAAGTTCATCTGAAACATATTCCGAAATCAGAATCAATAGTTAAAAATATCATCATCATCATCACATAAGCCTTGTCCCAACCATATGGGATAAATTACATTAATCCTGTTCTCACACTCTGTTCTGTTCTGTTCTTTGCTGGCCTGATGACCAATTTGTAAAATTTTGCTTTTGGCCTAAGTGCTATTCTCCTATCAATAGTTGAACTTTTGAAATTATAAGTTCTATGAGTTCGGCAAAAATAACAAACTGATAAATAAATGTCCCTCAGAGATTTTGGAATAAAAACTTATGTTTCTTTGTTAGTAAAAGACAATAATCTATCTTGACAAACCAAGTGACTCCACATAATAGGCAGAAATTCTAGCATCAGTTAACAGAATATGGAACCGTCAAATTGAACTACGGATTATAACGAATTACAATCAAAAACCAGCGTTACTGGAATTTCAATAGTGTTCAGAATAGAATATCCGAAAGTCGCAGAAATTTTCTGGTAAATATTGAGAATAGGGAAGCAGAAAGGATTGACCTACCTTGCGGGCATGGTCGCCTGGGACTGACTTTTTTCTGATACCCTTCTTCATTGAGGATTCTTCCATGTCGCTCTCCATTCCCAGTAAGAGTATCTGCAGCGATTAAACGCTGGGGGAAGAAAACATGAACAAGAAGACTTTTCTGAGAACGAGATAGAGAGAGAGAGAGAGAGAGAGAGGCCCTCCTTTATTAAAGAAGAACGAAGGGAGATAATCGAGAAGAATAGAGAATTTAGCTTGAAAAGCAGGGTTAAAAAGTCTAATCAATTTTGCAAAGATGTATAGTCGGACTGGCTCTGGACGGCGACAAGCATCGGAACACAAAACGGCAGTGTTGGAATGTGCTTGGTTGAAGGCAAACCCTCGACAATGGCGATGAGAGTGAGAACCATTTTTCAGGACAACTGTAGGCGGGACGAGATCACTGTTTGGCAAAAACAGCCCTGCGCTGCTTTGGGAGCCTCTACGCTTGACACTTCTAAAGTTCTAATTCAGTTCCTCATTTCCTCATCTGTCTTTTCAACTAAAAAATGTTGAGTGTAAATACTATTTTGCCCACAGTCACTATCTATTTATCTCCACAGAGGCTCCTAAAACAGCCTCTAAAGGCGTGTTGTTAAGCCTCATTTCCTAACGACGTATTTTGGGAAGGCATTCCTATCTTGGAATAAACCACTTTTTGTCATAAATGCCTACGCGAGAAACGTTTTGACGGAATAATACCCAACGGGGCCTAATGTTCCCATCATTTTTAATGGCAACGGGGACAGGATCATATTCTTTGTCCCGTTCCCAACCCGATTTTGAATCCCTGTCCTCGATCTCTGCTGGGATAAAAGGTTGTCTTCCATCCTCAACCCCAATTTAAAAAATAAATTTACTTAAAATAAAGGAAAGTTTTAAAATAGTAGTGAGGACCGGGTCTATATGATGCATGAGAAAACTTGAAAACCAAATAATAAGATAGAAAGAAAGTAATTCACAATAAAATAATAAATGTATAGTTATTATTAATTTAAGGTTAATTAAATCATAACTATTGTTAATCTATAATTAATGTTAATTAATAGTAAAATAAGTAATTTACTAGTTACTGATGCTGCTCGACAAGGTAGTTTTTGAATCGATGTTGCAATCAGATAATTCTGCCAAATGAGTGGAGCCGAGGTAGAAGGATGAAGTCGTGCTCCAAGATCTGAAACCAAGAAAGTGGTTAGAGGCCCGAGGAGTTATCCCTGAGTAGGTACTCCGATGCTCAAGTCAGTCGAGAACAATGGATGGTTGGGCCAAGCAGTTAGAGAACAACGTTGGTCCAAGTAGAGTAACAATACAGGAGTCAAAAGTTGGATCCCTTACCTTGAGCGGGAGCTACCTTTTTTATAGCTAAAGATCAGTGTCCTAATCAGATGAGGCTTCTGGGGTTGTCAAGATGAGGTTACCCGCCAAAGTCTTCATGATAAGACTTAATCCCTAGCGAAGTTGTCCTCATTCGTACGATGCTTCTCCTGTCTTGGTTGTGCTTATTCGCGTGACGTGGTGCTGATGTGGCCGAAGTGCCTTACCCACATGACGTGGTGTCGACATGATTGAGGTGATAAGGTGACTACAGAGATGACATGTGGCACCCGTGGCCAACTCAACCATAACCCGAACACCACTCCCCCAGTTCCAAAGTTGAGGAGTGTAGTGCTTAGTCAAGATGTGGCGTGGAAGAGTTCTTTGGTTCTTGGCTGAGGAACTTGAAGTTGAAGTTTAGTTTAGTGTGTCGTTTAGACGGAGTGGTGAGGGGTTGGACCTATTTTTCTGAGTGAACCGGCTGGTTCAATGTTCATACCGCCTTCGAAGAGCATTGTTTTGTTCTCTGAGGCTTCATGCATGCAAAGGGCGGTGGCATCATTTTGTCTTCCCAAGCTGTTAGAGGATAGTACTTAATCTATGCCGTTGATTTGCCTTGATCTAGATCACTGGGAGTCCTAAAAAAGGGGGTGAAGAGCATTCATACTTTGTCATTTGCGAAGGAAGTGCTTGCGGAGCTTAGCGAGAAGTAGTCTTCGGCTCAGTTGTTGCTTCAGTTCTGCGATCCACTACTACAGAGTTCAGTAAGATGTCTTCCTCATCTTTTGACTCTTCGTGTTCTTTCACTTCTTTCGCTTCTTCCTATGCTTCATCTTCTTGTTTTGAGTCTGGGCCGGGGTCTTTCACCGAGGCTGTCATGCTCGATGTTCGTGAGGCTGATGACCAGGGGCCGTGGCCGAGGACTTTAAGGGATTCCATCCTGAGTGGGTGGCCGAAGCTGAGGAGGCTGAGACGGGGCCGTCAACTAGGGAGGTCGACCTTCCTGCGTGTGTTGGTCGTCGGTTTAGGACCACGCCATGTTGTCTAACACATGGGGACATAGCTCGGATCCAATCTCTGTACTGTGTTCCCAATGAGTACGAAGTTAGGTGTCCGAACTAGTGAGAGGCCCACAAATGCTCGCCTAGGCGAGCTCTATGTGTATGAGCACAGCCTGATGGTTGGGTTGAGATTTCCATTGAGTGAGGGGGTCATCGACATGTTCAGGTGGTATCGGGTACTACCTATTCAACTGATGTCAAACTCCTTTAGGTTTTTGATCGGCCTTCTGCCCTACTACTTCAACCACAGCCTCGAGATTACCCTGGGGATGGTTTCTTATTTCCTTCACCTGAAGCACCACTAGCAAGGATACTATTACTTATCGGCTCAACAACGCATCAAAGTGTTGGTTGGGACCCCATCTTTGGTGAAGCACTAGAATGGTAAGTTATTTTTTGTGTGTTGTCTTGGAGGCTCGCCTCTGTCGGTCAGGCTCCAAAAACCAAGGACAAAGGTGAAGCAGCTCGAGCTGGCCCAACTCACCAAGGAAGAGAGGTCATCGATAGGGATGATCGAGGAGGTCAATGTGATGGATTACACATCCTTCTCGAAGTTGATCAATGTTGGGTTGATGAGTGAGGAGGCCGGTCTGTTTGTTGATCTGGATTTGCCGATATCTTCTTTTTTGAGCTCTTTTACTTGTACTGATCAGTCATTTATCTTGTGCAGGTGCTCGAATTGCAAGCAAGGAGGAGATCACTTGCCGCATGAGGGCCGAAGCTGATAGGAAACGGTCCAGAGGAGCTCAAGGGACCCAACCCCTTCCTGAAGAGGTGCAGCCAAGGTCTGCAAAGTGTGCTCCTCGACACCAGAAGAGGTCGAGGCAGACCGATGAGGAGGTTGTGGTGGTTGACGCCGAGGAGAGTGCTCAAGCCGCCCACTCCCCTTTGCCGCAAGGCAATGTGCCAGAGGGCGCCCACCCACTCCGGTGGAACATTCGGCTTGAAGTGGAGCACTCAAGGGCTTCAACAGCCGAGCTAGAGGCTGCAAAGGCTCGACTGGTCGAGCTCAAGGGCAAGAATGTCGAACTGAAGCGCAACATTGAGGAGTGGTCTAACATTATCTGCAAGCTAAAGGGTCGTGTCACCGACCTCAAGGGCAAGCGGGAGGCACTGAAGAAGGAGGCCACCGAGCGAGTGGCTCGAGCCGAGGATGAGGGGTTACCAGTTTAAGGCCTCCCAGGAATACCAACACGAGATGGATGACTTTGCCTCGCACTCCTAGGAGACGGGGTTCTACCTCTACCAAGACAAAGTTCTACGTCGGCTCCCCGATACTGTTGAGGTCGTTCAAGGTTTAAGCTTGTACAATCCTGATACACATACCAAGGGCGACGTCGGTGCCCTTAAAGTGCCTGAGGAGGTTGAGGAGCACCCTGTCGAGGAGTGAATTGGGCATGCCGCTGCTGCTGTTGTTTTCATTCTTGTCTTGCCCTGTTAGTGTTCTTTCTTTTTTTCTCTTTTTCTTTTTGTTGATGTATTCAGCTTGGTATGCCAAGCTTTACACTTGTAAATATTTATGAAGTTAATGAAAAACACTTTTTTTTGTTCTGAGCTTGTGTATCTCATTCTCCCTTTTTTTGTTGAACCTAGTTGTAAGCCTCGGTCTTATCCTAGCCGAGGTCCGGGGTAGCCGAGATCTTCAGTCTTTAGATTTCCTGGCTGAAGTGCTTTTCGAGCTCTCATCACTTGGGGGATGCTCAATGGCACTTGGTCTCAAGGAGATTTGCGCTCTTATGGGCTGCTCGTTCCTTAGCTAGTTCTGATCTGATGCTTCGTTAGTAGGGAGTGTGGAGTTCAATGACCACCCTCAGGCCTTCTGAGGTGGGAGCGTTCTTCCCTACTTTGGGCTCTAGCCGTCAATGACCGAGTCAGCTGGATTGGTCTGCTATGCATTGTTGGGCTAACATGGGACTATGCATTGCAGGCTCTGGCCGTTGTAGGTCGGCCAAGTCAATGTGTAGATGGGCCAGCAGTTAAGGGTCAGCTAGGGGATGCATGTTGCGAGGCATGCTTTGTGTGGTGTGTTGTGCAGTGTGTGCCGTGGAATGTGCGCTTGTGTAGCACGTGCCGTGTAGTGTGTTTTTTACAACTGAACATGAAGAAGATTGTCTTTATTTATATGGAATTAGTGGTAGTACATTCTTAGGTTCCTGGTATTCCAACTCCTCGATATGGGCCTTCCGTCAAGGTCTTCTAGCCTGTAGGTACTAGGTTCGAGCACTTTGGTGACTCTATATAGTCCTTCCTAGTTCGGTTCGAGCTTTCCCTCTAATGGCGCAGGTACTATGACTTTGCGAAGAACGAGGTCACTGGTTTTGAACTTTCTTCAGACTTTAGAGTTGTAGTACTTGGCCATTCTTTGCTGTTGCGCTGCCATCTTGAGGTATGATCGATAATGTGCTTCTTCTACTAGGTCGAGCTCTGCGTGGAGGTTTTTGTCATTCTGCTCCTCGTCATAGAACTCGGTCCGAAGAGTTGGCGAGCCTATCTCTACAGGGATCATGGCTTCGGCCCCGTATGCTAAGCTGAAGGACGTTTTTCCGATGGCTGTCCACGATGTAGTTCTATATGCCTAGAGGATGATGGGCAACTCCTCGACCCATGTTCCCTTGGCTTGGTCAAATCTGGTCTTCCGGCCGTGTAGTAGGGTTTGGTTGGTCATTTCGGTTTGTCCATTGCTTTGAGGTTGGTGAATGACTGTAGTCCGATGGTCGATCTTCAAGTTGGCATAGACAGCATTGAACTTTCGGTGAGTGAACTATGTGCCATTGTCGATGATGAAAACCTGAGGATTGCCAAACCAGCAAACAATACCTTGCTAGAAGAAATTTTGGGCATTTTATGCAGTAATGCGTGTCAGGGCCTCGGCTTCAACCCACTTGGTAAGTAGTCCACTACAACTAGGAGAAACCTCTTTTTTCCCGGCGGCGGTTGGGAAGGGGCCGAGGATATCCATTCTCCATGGCGCAAAGGGCCACGGACTACTGATTGGCTTCAAGGGGACTGCTGGCTAGTGATGGAGGTTGTAATGCCTCTAGCAGCAGTCACACTTCTTGACGAGCTAGGCTGCACCCTATTTCATGGTCGACCAGAA